AAAAAACTACACCTAGACATATAGTAATCAAGATCCCAGAAACCCAACAGAAGAACAAAATACTACAAGCAGTAAGAGAAAAGAAACAAATCACGTATAAAGGAAAGCCCATCAGAATCACAGCAGACTTTTCAACACAAACCCTCAGGTCAAGGAGAGCCTGGAATGAGGTATTTCAAGCCCTAAAAGAAAACAACCTCCAGCCTAGACTGATGTATCCTGCAAATCTCTCTTTCAAAATGGATGGAGAAATGATACTTCCATGACAAAGAACACCTGAGAAACTTCATGAATACCAAATCAGCACTACAAGGAATTCTAAACAAGATCCTAGAAAAAGACAATGAAGATCACAGCACCATGAAGCCCAACAGACGAAATCAAATAGGCAAGGCAAGAAACTAAAAGGAGATGGCAAAAATTAACAAGAGTCAACAAAAGGACAATAACATGACAATAATAAGTCAGTTCATATCCGTTATAACCATCAATGTCAATGGCCTCAATTCACCAATCAAGGGAAATAGACTTGCAGAATGGATTAAGAAGCAAACTCCAACAATACGTTGTATACAGGAAACACACCTAGTGCAAAAAGAAGCCCATAGACTGAAAGTGAAAGGGTGGAAAAACAATTCTCCATGCAACAGGAGCCCAGAAAAAATCAGGGGTAGCAATCTTATTCACAGATAAAGTAAATTTCAAACCAAAACTGATCAAGAGAGATAAAGAAGGCCACTACATTCTTGTAAAGGGAATAATTCAAGAGGAAGAGATGACAATCATGAACATACACGCACCAAATATTAATGCCCCCAACTATATAAAACAAACATTAAGTAACATGAAAAACCAAATAAGCACTAATACAATTGTAGTGGGGGATCTAAATATCCAACTATCACAAATAGACAGATCATCTAGGCAAAAAATTAACAATGAGATACTAGAACTGAACCAAGCTTTTGAAGGCATGGACTTATTAGATATCTATAGAGTGTTCCCCCACACACAAAATCAGAATATGCATTCCTTTCAGCTGCACATGGGTCATTCTCCAAGATAGACCGCATACTAGCTCACAGAACAGGTTTGAATAAATGCAAAAGAATCAAAGTTATCCCCTGTTTATTATCATGGTGCAGTTAAGCTGGAGATCAATAGCACAAGAAAACATAGGAA